CTCAGTACAGAGGCTTCTCATTCATTCACAAACTAATGATAGTTAAAATATCTTACTATCATTAGTTTATGAATGGGGAGGAGCCTCTGTAGTGAGTGCTAGTCCCCATTCATAAATTTTTCAATGAACAGGCTGTGATGTAGATCACAGCCTGTTCATTCATAACTGGGGATACATAGTACTATGTGTCCCCAGTTATTTACAAACACCGGAGTGATCAGATGATCACTCCGGTGTTTGCTCTGCACAGAGGGATCGTTAAATATCAATGATATTTAACGATCCCCCGCTCGGCCACTCTACAGAGTGAGAGTCATTCAAAAACTGACAGGATGACAGCGGCTCCGATCACTATGCCGCTCGGCCATCCTGAATTGCGGCCAGCCGCCGCTCCCCCCCGCCAGCCAATTTTAAATCGGATCCCCACTGCTACAGACTCTACAAGTGGGGGACAGCAGTGGGGATCCATGGAGTCTCTCATCCCTGCATGGAGCAGCTTCAGGCAGGGATGAGAGACTCCAGATGCCGGCGGCCGGCAGCAGCGGTGCCGGCGCCCGGTATTTTTGTTAATAGCGGTCATCAGCGGCTTGTGAGCCGCTGATGACAGCTATTATTTTGAAGGGGACAGTCTGCTGAACAGTTTTGCTATAAGCTCATGGTCGCTAAATCGACCATGAGCTAATAGCATAACTGTAAATGCCACCGACGTAAGGCATACTGAGCTGGCCAGCCGGGAACACTTTTGTTCCGCCGTATGCCTTACGTCGGTGGCAGCAAAAGGGTTAAAGTGCCTGTAAACATTAACAATTAACTTCTCTTATTTGCTCGCTTTTGGTCTGCTATATATACAGAGGGGAATTTATCAAAACTGAAGCAGACAAAATCTGTGGCAGTTGCCGATGGCAACCAATCAGTGCACTGAACTAACTGAAGAGAGAAGCTGATTGGTTGCCATGCACAACTGCTCCAGATTTTGTCTGCTCCAGTTTTGATAAATTCCGCTCACAATGTTTTATCTGTTTGAAATTGTGCCAGAAATCTTGCAAGCTGATAATTTCATGTTCTCTTCAAACTAGGAAGGGTTATGAAGAGGAGGGGGGTTCTTTGTAATTTATCAGAAATGAAGTAGGCAAGGCTGACACCATGTGTTCGGGAATGCTAGCTATAGGAGAAGTATATTTTGTAACAGGTGAATATTTTACAGCTGTTATGTGGCGATTAGTGATTGGTGGGGGGACTGATGTAAAAGGCGAATATTGGATTATATCGTAAAGTCCACTTTAATGTTATTTAAAAATACATTTAAATTTTTATCTGCAGCTAGCTGTGATTTGCTTAAACTGGGGGAAAAAATAGAATTTTTGTACTTACAGCAAAATCCTTCTCTTGCAGTCTATTGAGGGACACAGGAAGTCTTTAAATTTCAGGTTACACTGCCGCCTAGAGGAGGACTGGACACTGGGGGCCCCACCAGGGCTGTGTGCCGGCAGTGGGCCCCACCCGGGCTGTGTGCCGGCAGTGGGCCCCGGGCTGGGCATCACTAGAATACACTTCTTCAAATCATCGGGTGGAAGTTCCCAGTCTTCAAAGCAAAACTGTTCTCGAACAGAGGATATAGGCACGATATTTGTGCTACCACAAAATACAGCAACCGGTAGAGAAGGCTGATCCTCTAGGTGCAATAGAGTGTACTGTGTCAATTAGACTGGAAACAGTTTGCATATCCAAATCACATGAGATCTGGTCAAATATAGACTATGCAGGAGCAGGGCTCTGAATCAGAGGTAATCATAGGGCTTGCAGAATATGTTGGGGATTAGGGCCATGGTCAGAACTAGGTTCTGTAGCAGATGGCATGTGCCGGCAGTGGGCCCCACCCGGGCTGTGTGCCGGCAGTGGGCCCCACCCGGGCTGTGTGCCGGCAGTGGGCCCCACCCGGGCTGTGTGCCGGCAGTGGGCCCCGGGCTGGGCATCACTAGAATACACTTCTTCAAATCATCGGGTGGAAGTTCCCAGTCTTCAAAGCAAAACTGTTCTCGAACAGAGGATATAGGCAAGATATTTGTGCTACCACAAAATACAGCAACTGGTAGAGAAGGCTGATCCTCTAGGTGCAATAGAGTGTACTGTGTCAATTAGACTGGAAACAGTTTGCATATCCAAATCACATGAGATCTGGTCAAATATAGACTATGCAGGAGCAGGGCTCTGAATCAGAGGTAATCATAGGGCTTGCAGAATATGTTGGGGATTAGGGCCATGGTCAGAACTAGGTTCTGTAGCAGATGGCAGAGTGCAAAGGGAATATTTGCAAGCAGGTTGTTCCAATAATTGTGCACAGACTGACAAAGTCAGAAGTTGATAAAAGGAGGCCTGTTGAACACAGCGCAGGTCTCAGGGTAAGCCAGGGGACCTATAGAAGCTGTTGATGCAAACAGTCCTGATGAATTATGAATTGGATTTCAGTTCCCTCAAGGGAGCATGGTGGATTGCTCCTCAAAACAAAAGGGGAGTATGGCATGAGGTCACCAGTTGCAGCGAGATTATACTCAGAGCATCTTTTAACAGACATGTTTCACTGAATAGTAGTAAGCAACCAAACCAAGGTGAGACAAAGCTCTGTGTACTCACAAACCATATCCGTAAGAGCTGGAAGGGTCATAGCCAGCCAGAAGTAAAAAAGTCACTGTAGGCAGGCATTGAGAGAAAAAAGAAAGGAGACGAAATATTCCACAATGCACTTTAAACAGCAGTAGCAGCAGAAAGTGCTTCCTTCTGGTTTGAAAGGGCAGGAAAGGAACAAGGAGTATGTGTACGCAACATCTCTAACGGATTAACGAATGACGTCTACACTAAACTCCCTCAGGCTGACCAGCTACTTTAGCAAAAAGTGCAGGTGTTTAATTTTTTTTTTTTTTTTTTTAAAGGAGTCCAATGATTCCTTTATTTTTTTTTTTTTTTTAAAGGAGTCCAATGATTACCTTTTGCTGAAGCCTTGCCTGCCTTTGTCATTAGATATATTAAGAGAAACTGTGTTACACCTACAGGCTGTTCCACAGCTCTAAAACTGGATAGTGCCCTGCATAATGGTAAAATAGTGAACAGACAAGTGAAAGGTGACATAAGGCCCAGTCCAGTATGTAAGGGTTTCATATCAAGATAATGTCAACATCAAAACAGAAACTTATTTAAAAGGGAGAAAGCCTACAAAGAC